AAAAAAAAAAAAGTTTTTTTTTTTTTCTTTGTTGAACAAAATGAAATTGAACTTTAATACAGAAAATAAAACAAAATTATAAATAAACAGATGAAAACTACAGAGGACACATTTACAGACCTAAATAATTAAACATTTGTGTTCAACAACTATGCATGCAGTCATTCATATCGTATAACAAAAATGAGAAAAGTGGACAGTGAAAAGAAAAAAAAAGGAAAATGAAGTGATAATAACAAACGTAATTGCAATTTTTTTTTGAAAAGTTGAAACAAAAAGTATATATATTGGAAAAAAAAAGATTTAAAAAAAACGAATATTAAAGACCTAAATGAAAAAGTAAAACAAAACAGTGAAAAGACGCTATTTCCAGTCAATTGTCAGTAGTGAAACAGTTGGTTGAAAAGAGTTTCCAATAACAATTTTTCGACTTTGCTGTTTGGTTTTTCTCCTTTTTTTTTTCTTGCATTACATTTCGATATCATCAAACAGTTTATACAACCAAATATTTGTAAGCATCTTTTTACAAAAATTTCATTTACCGGTAGGTCAGTTAAAAAAAAAAAAAAAAAAGAAGATAAATGCAAATCACAGAAGGAACACAGAGCGAAACTGTAAAGAGCAAAGAACAAATTACTGGACAACAATAAAACAACAGTAAACAAGGAGAAAAAAATTTGAAAAACTTCAATTATTGCATCACTGTAAGTGTCAAGAAAAGTTTTTTGTTGTTTTTTGATTTATTTATTTAATTTTTTTCTTTTTTTTTTCTTGTAAAGCAACAATAATAAACAGTCTGTTTAGCTAAATTTTGAAGAATAATTGTTCTGGAGAGGAGGGGGGTGGGAAAAAAAATTGGAACCTGGAGTCAGTTTTACTATTTCTCGCAATAACTAACTTCTTTTTACTTCAGTTTTTTTTTTCTGCTCAACTCAGTTGCAAAAAAACATAATTATGGATCTTTGGTTAAATAAAAAAAGACAAATTGCAGAACAAAAAAGAAAAAAGCAAAAAATGAAACAGAAAAATAAGCAAATGGAATAAAAAGTGGAAGAAGAAACAAAACAAAAAATGTATTAAGCAAATTATTCTGAAACAAAAAA